TGTGTGTGTCTCTCTGTCTCTCTGTGTGTGTCTCTCTCTGTCTCTCTCTCTCTCTCTGTCTCTGTGTGTGTGTGTCTCTCTCTGTCTGTCTGTCTCTCTCTGTCTCTCTGAGTGTGTCTGTCTCTCTGTCTCTCTCTCTCTCTCTGTCTCTCTCTGTATCAAGACGTAAGTTCTCAGTAACCACTCCAATGCCATGCCTTCCTACCTGCTAACATGCTCCCTGCCATAATCGTCATGTGCTCACACTCTGAAACTGTAAGCTTCCAATAAACTCTTCTTTCTATTAGCTGCCTTGATCATGGTTTCCTATTACAGCAATAGAAAAGTAACTAAGACATTCATGAAATCAAAGTTAATTAAATCTCATCTAACTCTGGGGGCTTTGCACAGTGTGTTTCAATTGGGAAGGCTTTAGAACTCATTTAACTCAGTGTACTCATGCCATAGGTCCTGAAAGGAAGACTAGAAAGACAAGTGTTTTGCCAAATCCTAAAGCTGGCAAGTAACAAATGTCCTTTTATTACACCATACAGTTCAACTGTCAGACTTCTAATAATGTTAATAAAGTTACTTAGGGGTAGTTACTACCTACAAACATATCATCAGATGAAAAATAACTTCCAAAAATTTCATATACAGGTGCACACAGAGATAAACAGATACACACACATACACATGTTTCTAAAATGTCTTCTGGATATTCTAGATATGATTTTTGCCATATGTAAAAATGTGTCTTCTTTAATAGTCTATATAATGACAGTGAGTTATCATTTTATTTTTTGTCAAATTACACCATGTTCAGTTATTCTAAAGGCATTTAATTTTTTATTTTTGAGTCCAGACATGGTTATTCACTTCTGTGATCCTAGTATTAGGATACTAGTATCCTAGAGTCAGAAGCAAAAGCACTGTAAGCTCATGGCCAGCCTGAACTACATAGTGACCTTGAGCTATACAGTGTACATGTAAAAAGTAAACAGAAAATTTGAGGTTTTGAAGTATAAATCCTGAGAAATTAAGAGTTTCTTTGACTAACTGGATAATAGCTGACATGGAATATATGTAATAACTCACTGAAAACATTCTAAAAGTAATACATGAACAACTCATTTGTAAAGCTAAATAACTTGAAAGTATAAAGACATTAAATACAGGTTTTAAAAGGCTACTTACAGTAACAAAGATCAACCACTAGAAAAGTGATTTTCTCCTTAGCTCGGTTAGTCTAACAGTTAAAATGTTACTGGCGATGTTGTTGTAAATATCTAATATATGAAAATATCATAGCTTGAAAATAACAGGCATTGTCATGTTTTGATAGTAAAACATGCTACTGTTGAAAAGTTAGCTGTTGTGTGGCCCTGAGCTGAATACTTTACTTCTCCAAGATTCACTTTCTTCTTCTTCATTTCAAGACAAGGTTTCTCTGTGTAGCCCTAGTTGTCCTGGAACTTGATCCATAGACTAGGCTGGCTTTGAACTCAGAGATCAGCCTGACTTTGCCTCCCAAATGCTGAGATTAAAGGTGTGCATCACTACCACCCTGCTCAGTTTCTTCCTTATTGAGAGTTTTAACTGAAATAATAACATAATGCCTGGTACATAGTTAAATGTTGAAGAAACATTGAGTTCTACAGTTATTATTGATAGGTTATATCTCCTCTGGTGAGCCAATTCAAACCAGATTAGATCGTATTAAAGGCAGGTTTATTGAGAAGCTGTTCTCCAGTGGGGAACTTCACTGGTCCCAAGGAGGAGGCCAGGGAAGCCACCTTGGTGAGGAGGAGGGAGAGAAAGGGCTCAATACAGAGAGAAGGAAAGGGAAGAAGAGAAGAGAGAGAAGGAGAAGGAGGAGAGAAAGAAAGAAAGGGTAAAATGTCTGGATTGTACAGGGAGAAGACTGTGGGAAGGACAGCCCAGCTCCTGGGCTGGAGAGTTCAGGGTTGGGGTGCAGGGTATGCCAGGGAGGGGGGGGACTGAGGGATGCTGGGAGAACATGGAGGGCAGGTTCTCCTTTATTATGCACCTCAGTCCCTTGTCCCAGATCCACAACCAAACAATTATCATTGTTTTTAGTATTAGATAACAGAACTGCACTGTCATGTGAAATTTATTGGGAAAAGCAGTTCATGTAACTCAAACAACAAAGGTTTGGTTGAACCAAAAAATCAATTTGTTCATTTACAGTGAGAAAAATAGCGGCCATGTTGACCCAGTTAACACACCCAGCTCAATGTTCCCCCTCCCTCCCCGTGAGAGCACTCCCTTAGTTTCCCTTAGGAAACTGGATGAGATTAGGAGCTGGCTTGAGAAGTACCCCAGAGATGATTGCTTGCTTCATGCCAATTTCTCCTTCAATTTCCAACTACTCTTTCTCTCTCTGCTACAATGTAACACCCCTAAAGCAAGCCCTGTACTCCTCTAATCAAACATACCTTGTGATCTGGCACTGACTACAAAATAAAGCATCAGTTCTTTAGCCTTGCTTCTAAGATCCGAATTAATCTGTTCCCCCAAATTCTTATGCCATTTTGTTTTCTCCTCCTGGCCAACATGGCGGCTTTCCTACAGAAAAAGCAGCTTTCCCTAAAACACATCATGCTAATTTCTTATCCTGAGCTAAAGCATAGGCTAGGTTTCCTCATGAAATTTTCTCTCCTCTATGAGCCTTTTCACCATTTCAGAATATACAAAGATCCCTAAATTGCTACAATTTGAATTACTGTATTCCTTTGTAGGCTGAGAGGTAAAGACAACTTCTCAATCTAGTTCAGGGTGACCTGGAACTCACTATGGATCCCAACTGGTCTCAAGCATGTGACAATTCTCCTGGTTTCATTCTTTTTCACATGTATGTAAATATAAGTATATTGACTTGGTTGCCATAAATCTTACTTTTCTTAATATGATTACAGAAAAGATAAAGATCATCATTTATATTTTCTCATAAAACAACACATTATTACAAATATATTATATACTGAATCTAAATAACTCTATGATGCATTAATGACTATTCTGGGATTTACTGAATTGGCCTGGGTAAATCCAGCAAGGTTTCCTGGCCTGACATACTGTAGTTTGTTAGGTCTGAATTTTAAATATCCCCTGAAGGCATGGTCATCAGCCTGCTGTGATAGTGGGAGATGGTAGAAGCTTTAAGAGACAGAATCTAATGGAATGACACTAGGTTATCAAGTGTCTCTCACCCACCCAGATAACTGTTCTTAACCACTATGGTGTGCCGCTTTGCTCTACCACATGTTTTCTCTGCATGTCTCCATGATGTTCTGCCTTGATAGTGAGTCAAAAACAATAGAATCAACTTCTGAAACTGTGAGCCAAAATAAATCCTCCTTCCTTTTAAGTTTATAATCTCATATATTTTGTCATCCCTACAGGAAGTGACTAATACATTCTTCTCCAGACTCTTAGCATCAAAGCTTCTTTCAGATCTGTCCTCTTTGGCTCTGAAAATTACATCACAAGTTTCCTAATTGCTTCAGGAAGTACATGCCTAACAAAGAACCTTCTCTTTAAACATCTTTTTGTCTCTGATTTCTTTTACTCTAGTAAACATCAAACAAGCACCCAGGACATAAGTTTATAATTGGTCTTAATTTTCTGAATATCCTCAGTCCATTAGGCATTAAAATGTAGACATACTTTCCCAGAGTGTTATGTGCCAATTAACTGATAAAACTGCTGTTAAAGAAATTTTAAATGAAGTAACTCACTAAATGGTCATTGATTTTTTTTTAATTCTTCACAAATACCTTAGATGCCTTCAGTGTTCTGGTGTTGTGTGAGAGCTGAGCAGTAGCCATCATGAGAATGAATCAGGATTCTTCCAACCTGTTAAAAAAAATTAGACATTTTTCCCTAACATAATACTTATTATCTTGTCTTTTCAAAGATGGAACTGAACTCTAAAACCAAAAATTAAAATCAAGTACAGTTAAGTATAGACAATTTCTCAGACTATCCTGTTACAAGAGAAATTTATCAAACTCAGTTTTGAAAATACAAAGGGAGAACGGAGCTAAAATAGTTCTACTTGGCCCTATCAAAATTACAAAAATGAATCTGAATCAGAAAAAAATTATTTTGAATTTTATAGATGAGAGCTATATAAGTTAACTGTAATTCTGGTAACTAATTTTAATAACCATTTGAGTTTTCACTACAAGCTTTTACTAAATCTGGCATAAAGTCTCTGCATTAAATTTCAACAACCCAATAAAAATTGTAAGATAATTTATTCATAAACACATTCTCAGGAGAAGAATAAGCTATAAGTCACCTAAACACTCAACAATGTACCCCATTCATCTTTGCTGTGCCCTCAAAGAGGAACTGAATTCGTGTATTCAGCAGGGCTCAAAACATTTTTTAGGTAACTTCAGATTTTTTTTTTACAAATTCAAAACCTACTCAAAAATAGAAGAGGTGGAGAATTAAAACCCTCATCGCTGCTAGCTGGAATGTAAAACAGCCCAGCCGTTGTGGAAAACAGTATGCAGTTCCTCAGATTTCTAAACAATTACACCAGTATCCAGCACTTCCACTTCTAAGTGTACAGCCAAAAGAAATAAACGGGAGGAAGGCGCAGGGAGGACCCAACACTTGTACATCCACTTGTACTGCAGCGTTCTTCCTCACGGCCAAAGGCAGGAACAGTCCAATGCCTATCAACAGACAAACTGACAAACAGCCAGGGCCAGCAGCATGCACTGGATGCCCATCTACAGTGGAAGTTGGGGTAGGGCAATCATCTGAGCCCAGGAGTTTGTCAGCCTGGACAACAAAGCTAGACCCCACCTCAAAAAAAAAAGGGCAGATGAACAGATAAATAAAACGTGTTTTGTGATACTTACGGGCTACTCAATCTTTAGAAAAGGATGAAACTGTGGTACTATGTCACAATATAAATGAACCTTGCAAACACAATTTTAGGTTAAAATAAGACAAAGCCAGATACAGAAGGACAAATATATGCTCTCACCTATGAATACCTACAATAAAGTAAGCAAACATATACAGACAAAAAGTAGACCAGAGGTTATCTGGACTCCAGTGGAGATAGAAGAAATGGCAGTTCAATAGGAGAGTTTCTATTCATGATGATATAGTTTGGAAACTGTAAATGGGCAGCAACTGTCACCTGACAGCTGAGCATGACTAGACTATACATGGAGAATGGCTGACATGACCAGTTCCTCGCTATGCACAGTAGATCACAATGAAGAACTCAATGGAGTTGGGGAAACCCACAATTATACTGCCGAGTCTGGAAAAATATTATAAAAAGTCCTAAAAGTTAGGAATTAAAAGTGCACTATTCACCCTTTTTTGCTTCGGTGCAATTTTTTTTAAGTAAATTTTCCATTTTCTTTCTGAAGGCCTTAACTTTATGCCCATCGGGGCCTTACTTATAATAACCCGTTTAAAGAAAGTCCATCCTGCCTCACCCAGGGCAATCTGTTACCTGTTATATTAGCAATTAAGGCAAGATTTTGAAAGATTCTTTGCAAATAAGAGGTTAGATGTATTTGGAGACAGGGCCACAAGGTGGTGACAGAGACTATAAACAGATGCTACTGAATTTCTCTTAAATTACTTCTTCAAGCAGCACTAGGGGACACTAGTGGGGATACGTCTACACAAGACTGAGGTCTGCCTAGTGGTCCTTGAGTAGTCTTTAAACGATGTTTTCTTTTGTTGTGTTTAGAGTGTAACTGTCGAATCTGACCCAGAACATCTCCTTTATATTTTAAGAAATAAGGAAGGAACAAAAAGGTAGGTCTAAGGGTTTAAGTTCCAGTTCTAACCCATTAGAATATAATCTCCTATAGGGGAAGCAATAAATATAAGAACTAAAGGGTTTTAAATCACTTCTATGTTGGTAGGATTTTAGCCAATCTCTTTATGGTCATAAGATACTTCCAATGGCATCCGCCAATTAGACTTCCATGTACAGTTAGGCACCTGCATTTTTAGAATATATAGATGACCCAGATGAAATTAATAGTACTGAAAACCAATACCTCCAGGGCTGCTGTATCTGAGAAGGGATTAAAAATATTTATAAAACAAGTAAAATTAAATTTTATGCAACATAAATGGAAATATAAGAAAAAGCAGCCAACAATACAATCTAGCAAAAATAGGTCTTGGAATTACAAAATCTGAGTTCAAATTTGGATTCTATTACCTAGCAGCTGTATAACTCTGGTTAAATTAATTTCTCTGAGATCTGGTTTCTTTTTTGTAAACATATATACAGATCCAACTTTCAGGTCTTGCTCGCTGTACATCTGGAGTAGTAACATAGGTGGACTTTCTACAACCACCCATCCCTTGCTGTACTCAGCCATCTCCGGTCTTCATTTTCAGCCAGATTTTTCTCATCACAACCTTGATTATATATTACTTCCAAACTGAAGTACTTACATAGCTCCAACTACCCTCAGGGGGAAAAAAATCAAAGCTGCCTAAGATCACATCTCAGTGTATAGCTCACTACATAACCTTGGACAAAATGTGGGCCTCAGTTTCTCCATCTGTACAGAAAAAAATGTTACAGTGACTACTTCACAGTTATTTCAAGATTAAATTTATTAAACTAATATGGTACTTAGAACAGTTTTTTATATACACTTCATTAAACATAAGAAAGCATGTTTGCTTTCAAAACAAAACAAAGAACCTGTACATTAGTCTTCCTCCTGGTGTTTCCCAGACTCGGCAGCCCCTCCCACCGTCCTCCAGTCCTTCCTCCCTGCTTCTTTTCCCCCTGCTGTCTTGGTACTCCTCAAGTTTCTGTGCTAGTAGTCTTCTGTTATTTATTTATTTATTTATTTATTTATTTATTTATTTCCTTGAATTCACAGAGATCGGCCTGCCTCTGCCTCCTGAGCGCTGGGACATAAGGTGTGCGCCAGCTTTTTAAAAATTTCTAAACATAGCCACTGAACAAACAAATATACTTCCATTATTTCAATTACCATTTCTAGTCTAATGATTTTTGTATGTGTATTCCCAGCCCAGGTCATTCTCATGAGTTACTGATCTACAATTCTGCCCATTAGACAATTCCCACTTTGATGTTCTTAGCACATCCAAATGCAAATTCTTTCCCCTCAAATCCTCTGTTTCCTAGCGAATGACATCATCAAGTACTTAAATCACTTGGTCTGAAAATGTATGATTCAACTCTGCCCTATTTCTTTGTTTAGTCAACTTAGAATTTCTCAAATGTGTCAACTGCTCGCTTTCTCCACACTGTTGTCTACTTACATTGGGGGGAAGGGTCTTCTGTCGTTGTTGAGGCTGCTGCTCTTGTTTTGACAGGATCTCACTACATGGTTCCAGATTCCTGAAACTTACTCTATAGCCCAAGCAGCCTTGAACTTGAGGTGATTCTGCTGCCTCCACTTCTCAAGCACTGGGATTATAAGTGTGCACCCTCACAGATGACAGGGCCTGCCATCTCTACTTTAGATCACATCAGCCTCATCTTTTGCCTGAATCGCTGCAACCACCCATCTGCCTATTGCTGTACTCAGCCATCTCTGTTCTACGTTTCCAGCCAGACTTTTCTCACTACAACCATGATTATGTATTATTTCCAAACTGAAGTACTTACTCCCCAACTGTAATGGTTTGAATATGCTTGGCCCCGGGAATGGGCCTATTTGAAGGTGTGGCCCTGTTGGAGTAGGTGTGTCACTGTGGGCGTGGGCTTTAAGACCCTCATCCTAGCTGCCTGGAAGTCAGTATTGCGCCAGCTGCCTTCAGATGAAGATGTAGAACTCTCAGCTCTGACTGTACCATGTCTGCCTGGATGCTGCCATGTCCCTGCCTTGATGACTATGGACTGAACCTCTAAACCTGTAAGCCAGCACCAAATGTTATCCTTATAATGTTGCCTTAGTCATAGTGTCTGTTCACAGCAGTAAAACCCTAACTAAGACACCAACTACCCTCAGGGAAAAAATCAAAACTCTTTACCATCGTTTCAAGATTTGCTTCATACCCTCCTGACCTCCTCACTCATTTTCCTTGGTATTTTTTATGCACCAGTCATTTGTACACCTTCACTCTCTCTAGCTTTGGGGTGTTGGCAATATTCTCCTGGTCCGAAAAATCCTCTTCTACTTCAGATTACTACCTATCTCCTGAAGATGGTTTAGTTTTTCAAGGAACAGTAGCCCAGTTTCTACTACCACCTCTACCAAGTTCAAGTTATGTCTCTATTACAATACACAGTATATTATATCTACTTTGTGTATGTGACTACCTACTGTGAATTAACATAGGAATACAATTATATCTGTTGGGCTTGGTGTTTTTAAAGGTTTTTTTTTTAATTGTTCCAGCTTTAATGAGAGTTCCTGTCTCAAAAAAAAAAAAAAAAAAAAAAAAAGGTAAAAGAGCTGAAGAGATGGTTCAGTGGTTAAGAGTATAGACTGTTCTTCCAGAGGACCCAGGTTCAATTCCCAGAACCAACATGGCAGCTCACAACTGTCTGTAACACCAGACTCAGTGAATCTGATGCCCTCTTCTGGCCTCTGTAGTCACTAGGCATCCACATACATAAAGCAAAACACCTATACAAGTTAAAAAATAATAATACAAATAAAAACATTTTTAAACACTAAGCAAGCAAAGAAGATAATAGATATTAACATCTGACATGCAAATGCACATGCATTTCCAGGTGCATGAAAACACACGTGCACAGAAAGAAAGTAAAATGTGCCAGGCTGTAATGGCACACATCTTTAGGGTGGCACTTGAGAGGCAGGGGCAGGTGATCTCTGTG